TCATGGATCGAATGTGATCAATACAGTATGATATTGCCAACTATATAGGCAATCAGGTGATCAATGGAAGGGAAAAGAGTCCAGAACTAGAACCACACATATACAGTCAAGTGATTTTTGAGGAGTGTCATCAGGATTCAACAGGGAAAGAAATCTTTATTTTTCTTCAGGAATGGTCCTGTCCCGATATCCATCTGGGAAAATATAAGCCTCAATCCCAAGCTCCCACTGCACTCCAACGTCAACTATAGGCGGGTCATGGCCCACGTGTGAAAATTAAGATTCTAGGAAAGAAACAAAAATAGAAGGTTGTGTTTATGACCTTGGAATAGGCACAGGTTTATTAGAGAGGACATCGAAAGAACAAATTACACAAGACGATAAAGTGACCTTCATAAGGCTTACAGCCACCTTCTTGTCCTTCCCCCTCCTCCTCCTCCTCTTTCTCCTCCTCCTCCTCCTCCTCCTCCTCCTCCTCCTCAGCGGCCTTCCCTGAGCTTCGCGTCCCAGCCTGTCACCCACTTTGGCTCTGGCCTGGCATTAGAGGACTCCCATGGCCTGCAGCCCAGGAGGCCTGCCCAGGAGACCCTCCGTAGCCCCTCGTCTTGTGCAGGGAACAGCCCCGAGCGGCCCCCCGCCCCTGGATCCCCTCAGGACCCAGTGAGGATGGATGCTCTGGACCTGCCTGGCCACCATGGACAGAGCCCCCTCTGCCTCGCCTGTCTTCCCTCATAGCCCTAGCCAACTCCGCCTCATAGACCACTGCACCCTGGCCTGCCAGGACCTTCAGAGAGAGAGGCCCCAGGCGCAGGCAGGCAGCTCAGTCAGACAGGGGCTCTGGCTGCAGCTGGAAAGCCCTTTTCACAAACCTTTGTCCACCCAAATCTATGTCACCACCTTTGGGAAGCCTTCTTTGATTGCCCCCAGTCGAAGTAGCGTTCCTTTCCCTGACCCCCTGCAGCAGAGAGGGCAGTGGCTATAGCTTGGGGCTCCGTTCCTCCGTGTGTCGCTGGGAATGTGAAGCCTGAGATGACCCAGGTAAAGCACCCTCATGGCGCACAGTAGGCACTCGGTCAATGGCAGCTGTGCATTGTGACGCTGTGGTCTCCCCCGCCACCCAGGCAGGACGGCAGCGCCTCAAGCTCTGGCACACAGTGGGCATCTGAATGCTCACCGGGCTGACCAGCAGGTGGCCCCACACCCCCATCAACCTGCCCTGCCCAGCTGCTTCTCCTGGTCAGGAAACAGAGCGCAGAGCCCGCGCAGATGGCACAGCATAGGGCAGGCACATGGGCGGCATGGTGAGCAAGGCCTTCCACTTGGACCCCCTCTCCCCGTCTCCACCGCAGCCCTGCCCACCTTGGGAGGATTACTCCCATTTAAGAGGCAAGAAAACTGAGGCCCAGAGACGTGTTTGATATGCCCGAGACCACAGAACATCCCCACAGTCTGTCGCCTACCCCTGACTCGTCAGTGTCTCGTTCTGCTGATGGGGAACCTCTCGTTCTGCTGATGGGGAACCAACCCTTCGTGCCAGGGCTGAGGGTTAGAGCACAGAAGGGTCTGGGGTTCAGTTCCCGGTCCAGGGCACTACCTGGGTGGCAGTTCACCCCCTGCCCCCAGCCAGGGCACCTGCAGGAGGCCACATGTCCACGGTTCTCTCCCTCTGTCTCTCTGGAAAGCAATGGAAACGCTCTCCGGCGAGGATGACACCCACCAAACAGCCTTGCCCACGGCTTCCTGTAAAGCCGAGCTCAGGTCTCCGGCTCTAAACACAGTACCCCACACGGAGGGCGGGCGGGGGCTTCCAGGCCCTTCCCTGCCTCTGGCCTCGGCTCGCGGGTGGCCACGCAGGCTGCCCAGAGGACAAAGGGCAGAACATCACGGCTGGTGCGGGCAGCTGCGAGGACACACCGGGGGTGCAACGGGCTCAGCAGCCAGGTCCGGAGGCAGCTGCCCGGGCTGTGCCCTCTCCCTGCGCGAGAGCGAGCTTCGGGCTCCCCTGGAACCTCGAGACCCCGAGGCTCAAGACAGAGCCAGCCAGAGGCAGGAGTGCAAGACAGAGCCCTCTGCCATCGGCCGGTCAGGGAGCATCCTGGGAAGAAACCTCTCACACATACATGCACACACATGCACACACACGCTCCCACACATGCACGTGTGTGAAGACACCTCATGGCTTTATTGGAAGCTCCCAGGGAGGTGACCTGGAGCCCTTGCCAACACCTGCGTCTGCACAGGCAGAGGCGAGCGTGTGGCCACTTGGCTGCTCAGCTGCCGGGTCCCAGCTGACCCTCAGGGAGCGGCCCCCACTTCCCAGGCAGCCTGGGTCCGTGGCTCCCATGCTGCCACCTGCACCCAGTACGGGGCCCCGGGCAAAGGGGGTGCTCGGGAGGTAGCCGAGGGGAGGAGCCTGTGTCTATGGGGCTCTGTGGCTAGACAGGCCCCACGTGGGCAGCCTTGGCACCTGCCCGTCATTTCACTGGACAGAGGACTGATGAGTGCGTCTGAGCCACGGCCCCTGTGAGACCCAGAGTCCCCGGGGAGCCCGGCGCCCTTCAGAAGGGGGGGGGCCTCTTCGAAGCCGAGGTCCAGGCAGCCCCCCGATGCTGCTGTGGAGAGCGGGCCCTTGGGAGGGAGCCCCGCGGGGGGAGGGAGCCTGGTTTTCCCGTGGGAGGCCCCGGAGGCAAATCTGGGGCTGGATCGATTTTCCCTCGAGCAATGCCCAGCACTTCGTCTCTCCTGCCGGCTCAGGCTGCTGGGACGGGAATGGGGGCTGGGCCTGAGCCTGCGCCAGGCCCCTCCGTCCTGCTCAGGCAGCATAGCCGGAGCCCGCAGGGGACTCCCAGGTGGGCACTGGCATCCCACTGCACCGCGGAGGAAACTGAGGCAGGAACGCTGGAGGACGTGTGCAAGGTCGCCAGGCAGAAAGCAGCGCCCGGCTCGGGACTGGGAGCCCGTCCCTGCCCCCCCCCCCCCCCGGCACCTCCTCACTCCCCAACACCCCAGGGACAGGGGGAGGGCGAGCTGCTGGGGAGCCCGGGAGCCCCCCAAATCTGGGAGGTCTCAGGATAGGAGCAGGGCAGGGGGAGGGGGATATGCCACCGTCAGGGCCCCCCTGAGGCTGCCCACGGGGCCCCTGAGGGCGGAGGGTGCTTGGCTGCTGGAGTTGTCAAGAGGCAGTCTCCTGCGTCCGCCCCCTCCCCTCCCCAGCCTCCCCGCTGCCGCTGCCGAAGGAAATCTGGCAGCTTCTGAAAATAGCTCAGCGCCGCAGCAGGCACGGTGCCTGCCCTTCAGCAGGCTGGCACACAGCTGGGGGCGGCCGCTGTGGGCAGGCGCTGGCGCGCAGGCCCGGGGGTGGGTGTCACACACACAGCGCACAGGGCACGGAGTGGGGGCGGGGGGCGGCTGCCTCCCTCCTCTCTCCTGATCGTCCCCTGCCCGGGGCCCCCGGCGGCCTCCAGCCGGAGAGCACGCTCCCCGGGCCCGGCCACCCTCTGCCTCGGGTGTCAAGTCCCTCGTGGGTGCGAGTGGCTGCCCTCAGCCACTTTCATTTGCTCGTACAGACAGAGAGAAGCCCAGGAGCCAGGGGAAATGCCAGGCGTGTTTATTCACAGGACCCCCAGCGGAGTTTTCCCACGTGACGTGGCATGGCCCAGGGCTCCCCAGCCAGGAAAGGGGGCGGAGCAGGGACCGGGCTGGGGGTCAGGCACTTGGCAGACCAGGTCGGGGGCATGGGCGCTGGGTGAGCCTGGAGGAATACTCGTACCCGGACCTGGGCCAGGGCCAGACGTTCAAAGCATCCCTCGGCAGCCTCCCGCCGCCCCGGGTCCGACGTGGGTAAAGAGAGGCCCCTGACCCCTGGCCAGTTTGGCTCAGTGGATCGAGCACTGGCCGGAGGACGAAAGCATCGCGGGTTCAGTTCTGATCAAGGGCACGTACCTCGGTGGCAGGCTCTGCCCTGCCCTGGTTGGGGTAGGTGGGGAAGGCAACCCATCGATGTGTCTCTCTCACATCGATGTTTCTTTCTCTCCCCCTCCCCTCCCTTCCACTCTCTAGGAAAGCGAGAGAGAGAGAGAGAGAGAGAGAGAGAGAGAGAGAGAGATCCCTGATGAACAGGGACCCTGGCCCTGCCCGCAGCCGTCCACTCCCATGGCAGTGCCCAGAGCCACCAGGCGGCCGATGAGCCATTCCGGGAGAGGCTCCCGCCTGGGACCGGAGCAGGTGGGAGCAGAGGACTGCCTCTGTCACAGTGACGTTTTCCGAAGCAGAAAAGTGTTAAAAACACCTCCCGCCCTCCGCTGAGAGGAGAGGAGGCTCCCTGGGGGAGGGCTGGGCCAGGGCCTGGGGAGAAAGAGCCCCAAGGGCCCTGTGGGATGAGAGTGCAGCCACGCCGGGCGGGAGGGGGTGGGGGGCAGGCTGGCTGAGCCTGCGGCCTCGGGGAGACCAGCGAGGCTGAGAGTGAGGGCAGGCCGTGGGAGAGACAGCCGCCGGGGAAGGCAAAGGCACACAGACCCCAATTGCCCCTTCTCCCTCCCTTGCTCGCTCACTCACTCCCTCGGCATTCCCAGACAGCAACTCGCTCCCTGATCACCATGGCAACCAATGGCCAGCTGCCTTTCCCAAGGCCAGGCCCATCTGCCCACCCCACAGGCGGGCATTTTCATAGGAGGGAAGCCCAGCCACGGCTCCCCGTGGCCCAGAAGTCTAAGGCCACGGCCACGGCAGGACAGGGCCATGGCCACGGCAGGACCGGGCCACGGCCAGGGCAGGGCGCCCGGGCAAAGGCACTGCAGCGGCCCCAGGCACGGCCCCCTCAGACTGGCACCTGCACTGGGGCACTGAGGGAGGGGTGGGGCCATGGTCCCCCATCCTGAAGTTCCACGTGACAAATTAAAATACAACCAAGTAGTCCTTGTGTTTAAAAAAATGACCTGGGCCTCAGCGCCCCCGTCCGGCCCACAGGCCCTGAGGCCGGCCGCTCCCAGGCGAGGCCGGAGCTACTGGTTGTTGCAGCCCTGCGCGCCCGCGGAGCCCGCCTGCTTCTTCCTCCGCTTGTTCAGCAGCCGGTTGTTGGAGGTCTTCAGGTCCTTGATCTTCACCTGGTCGTAGTCCACGCGCATGGTGGCCAGGGCACTGGTCATCTCCTCCTGGGGACGGGCGTCAGGATGGGCCGGCCGCAGAGGCCACCCCTCCCGCCGGGCAGCCCCTTCGTAAGGTCAGCGACGGCGGTACCACCTCTGCTGCCCAAGGACCCCCTGTGCGCCCGGCACCGGGCCTGTCCACGCGCATCCCACGGTCCTCCCCCCGGTCCTCTGGGGTGGGCACGATGCTGACCCCTGAAGGCGCGGGAAGTACCTCACAACTCCCCGGGCCCACACCCGGGAGAGCGGGACCGGGACCCGGACCAGGGTCAGGGACCCGCGGGGCACCGCCTCACGCACACGCAGGGCGCTGGGGCCTGAGGATGATGCCTGGGGAGTCTGGGGGTTCTGAGCTGCTGCCCCATATGGGCCTCTGCTGCGTCTAAAACCAGGCTGGACCCCTCCCAGGGGTGTGGCTCACAAGACCGCAGCCAGAGCCCGCTGGTGAGGGAGTGAGCCAGGGGCTCCGCCCAGGAGGGGGCAGTGCAGCGCCATGTGCCGTGGAGGGACCTCTGGCTCAGTCCCAGGCACCCCCGGTGCCCCAGGCACCAGGCGGGGGCCCAAGACCCAGACTCTGAGTAGCCATCAGCCTGGGTCCCGTTTCCCAAAACCTGGGACCCGCAGGGAGACAGGCCGCGTCCACCCACCTTGACTTCGTCCCAGTGGTCTCTGTCCTCCTGCAGCACGCGGGCCGTGTGCAGCGGTGTCTGCGGCACCACCGTGGATTGCTGCAAGGCCCCCGCCCGCGGGTGAGAGCCTGCGGGCACCTGTGGCGGGCACCTCACCGGCTCCCCCGCCCCTGCTCCTCCCGGCTCCTCCCGGCTCCTCCCGGGCGCAGGTGGGGAAACCCAGGCTCAGGGAGCTGAAGGAGCCTGGCGGGGGCAGCGGCCAGGGGAGGCCGTAGGTGGGGCGCTGCCACACGTCTGTGGCCCACGCCGAGGCACCCGAGCGCCGCTGGCCCCCCGCCCCCGCCACGGCTCACATTGATCCAGGGGTGGTTCATGAACTGCGTGATGGTCAGGCGCTCCGTGGGGTCCGTCTTCAGCAGGAGGCGGATCAGCTGCTTGGCTAGGGACAGGCGGGGAGGGGGAGGGCACAGAGTTCCTGGGAGCCAGCCCCCCATCGCGCCCCAGACACCACAAGCTTCCAAGTTCCTGACCCCCGCTGCCAGCCTGTGGGGTCCGGGGAGATGGATAGAGGCGGGCCGGGCCGTGGCCCCCACGGGAAAACGGGGACGGGGCGCGGGCCTTAGAGGGAGTCTGAAGGAGGCAGATGCTGAGCCCGTCTGACAGAGAGAGAAGCCCGAGCTCGAAAAAGCCAGGGACCTGCCTCAGGGTGCACAGCGGGCAGGCGGGGGAGACAGCCCTTGAGCACAGGGGGGTCTGAGCCCCAAGGGGTGCCCAGGCTGAAGGCCGAGGCTCACTCACCGTCCTCGGACACCTCCGACCACTCGGGGTTGGGGAAGCCGTACTGGCCCAGGCGGATCCTGCGCTTCATGCCCGGCGAGATGGCCTGGCCCGTGTTGGAGTAGAAGGGCGGGAAGCCGCACAGGCTGCGGGGGGCGCGGGCGTTGGCACCGGCAGGCGCAGTGCCAGGGCGGACCTTTCTCCTCCCCGGGGCCTCACCGGGAGACAGGCAGCCAGGCGCCACGGCAGCAGTGCCAGCCCTCTGTCCCCCCCTCCCCCCCTCCCTGGGACCACGTCTGCCCGGGGAGCGGACAGGCCTCAGGCGGCCGGAGGAGGCGGCTATGAGCAGGGGGAAGGGCAGCTGTGGTTCTGGGGTACACGGGGCCGGCTGTACTCACAGGATGTACATGATGACGCCTAGGGACCACATGTCACATGACTTGTCATACTTCTCCGGACCCAGGACCTCAGGAGCTGCAGGGCGGAGGGCAGAGGGCGCGGGAGGTCTCAGCCCCGAGGGTCCGGCCCAGGCAGGAGCCTGGCGCCCGGGCGAGGGGGGAGCAGGAGCCAAGCGAGGGAGCGGGGCTGCGCAGACTGGCGTCTGGCACCGTCTGGGAAGGCAGCATGTGTGTGAAGTTGGGGGAGGCAGCGCAGCTCCCCGAGGAAGTAAACCCGCATCCTGGCCGGGCTGGAGGGAGGAGAGCCTTCGGCGCCTCCAGGCCAGCTCAGGCATGGCGGGCGGGCCGAGGAGAGAAAGGCTGGCCCAGGGCTCGGCGAGGTCCCGTCACAGGTGCCCCCAGATGCCCTGTGTCCCCTGCCTCCCTGAACACACAGGGCAGGGAGGGGTGGGCAGGGCTCTGGGCCCCCCTGTCCACTTGGCCACCATCCCTGGGCCTCGGTCTTCCCATCAGGGCGATGGATGAAGAGCCCGGAGGTGTAAGTTAAAAGCCTGCCAAGCAGGTCCTGACACACAGGTCCAGCCATCTCTGCCCCTCGCAGCTCCCGGAGGCTCCCGAAGGAGAGGAGCCCTGGGCGAAGGTGGCATCACACTACGCCCAGAGGGCACCGATCTGCTCTGCGGGCTGCCCGCTCCCAGGGAGCCGGGAACTTTCCGGAAGCCTGAGTGTGTGCACACCAGGCCGTCCCGGGGCCACAGCAGGCGGCCAGAGGCCCAGCCCCGCGGGGGGACAGGCCTGCCCCCTCTCAGGAAGGAGCGGGGAAAGAACACCGTGGCGCCAGGCCCTGCCGGCCCAGCAGCCTTCACCGCGTGTCTATTTAGAGCTGCCGTGATGTCATCCGGCTCAGGCTGCAGCCAGAATTTTCCTGGATCTATTTTCAAAAGCAGAAGCTGAGGTTCGGGAGGATATTTCTGCAGCCTCCGGCCCCCCCCGCCTCCCTGCCTCCGGGCACACGGATCGTCCCTCCCTCGATCCCGGGCGTTAACCCTTGGGCTTCTGCAGCCCACGGCGCCCCACATGGGGTGCGGTGTGTGGGTGTGGGGGACACGCCACGCCCGAGGACTCACCCACGTAGTAGGGAGTGTAGCAGGGTGTCTGCAGGGCATTCTGGGTGGTCTCCTTGGCAAAGCCGAAGTCGGTGAGCTTGAGCACCGCATCCTTCTCCTTGGACGTGTAGAGCAGGTTTTCGGGCTGCGCCGGGCAGGGGAGACATGGGTCGGAGCGAGGCACCAGGTGGGGACGGAGCCTCAAGGTGCCCTCTCGCCAGGCTGCCTCCCCTCTCGCCCCGGCTGGGGCCAGAGCAGCCAGGCCCAGGAGGAGAGGGCGGGGTGTGGGGCGAGGCGCCAGAGCAGAGCCGGGGAAAGCGCTTCCTCGGGTTCGGGTTCGAGTGAGACGATCTGACCTTGGGTCAGAAGCAGGTTTTGTCTACACAACCTGTCCTGGGGAAGGTTGTCCTCCCCTGCTGGGAGAGGGGGGAGGAAGCCGGGGCCAAAGCAAAGAGGGGTGCAGAAGGTGAGTCTGCGGTGGCTGCGGGTGGACCCGGAATCCAAGGGGAACTATAGGGGGTGGCAGGGCCGGCCAGAGGCCCGGAACCAGCAGCTGGACCACAGCTGGCCTGCAGCTCGCTGGCCCAGGGAGGAAACAGGCCACGTGCGGGCGGCCTCAGTTTGCCTCCCGTCGGCCTGACAGTGACCTCTAAGACCCAGACCTGCTGGCGAGGAAGGTGGGAGGGCCGGGGTGGGGGAAGCCGTCCTCGGAAAGAGCAAGCAGCCCTGGCAACCGGACCCACGTGGCTCCTTCCTCCTCGCCGCCTAGCGAATGCCTCTTTGCCCCCAAAGGCTGGCGCGAGAGGGCGCGGCCTGGAGACTGTCTCCTCACGAAGCCCCCACGGGGCCAGGCAGCCCTGCCCGGGCCCGCACAGGACGTGCTCCCAAAACTCCCTGCTGCGTGAACCAGCCCGTGTGGCAACTTCATGGCCCCGGGCGTGGCAATCTCTCCCTGAGCCTCAGTTTTCCCATCTGTAGAATGGGCACGGGTGCCAAGCCTCACGGGGTTTGGTGAGGGTTAAGCAAGATGTTTTCCAGGGCCTCCCGGCTGGAGGCAGGCACTCGGCCAGGCTTGCCGCCACGAGGCTGCAGAGTGAAGGCAGCGAGGAGACCTGCGTAGCCGCAGCCGCGTGAGTGAGCTGGAGCCGGGGAGAAGAGACGGGAGCCCAGCCTGGGCCGGGAGCAGAGCCTTGAAGGATGGGCCTGCACGCACTGGGTGCTGGGAGCCACTGGGGGGGTGACTCCCACGTCCCCCCGGCTCCCCGACCTGGGCCCTGGCCCTCACCTTGACGTCACGGTGGGCGATGTTGTGTCTGTGCAGGAACTGGATGGCGGTGCCAATGTCACGCATGATCTCTGCAGCTTCTGCAGACACAGGAAGAGTGAGCGGTGCCGGTCCGAGCCAGGCAGCCTGCACCCCAGAACCCCATCCCATACGCCTGCCCGTCACCCTCATTTCCTCGGGGACTGCCTGGGCCCTCGCTCCTCAGGCCTGGGCTCCCTCTCCCCAGCTCAGCGGCCCATGCTCCTGGGACGCATGGGGCGGGACACTGTCTCACCCTCTTGTTCAGCTGGGGAGGCTGAGGCACAGAGAGGAGCAGGGCCTTGTCCAGCATCCCTCTCAGTCCGATCCCTCTCAGTCCGATCCCCCCACCCAACCGCCCTGAGACCCAGCCTTGCCGTCACCTCTCTCGGTGAACGCCTGGTCGCCTCGCTCCTGGATCCTGCTGAACAGCTCGCCGCCCTCCATGCTGGAAGAGAGGGGACTGAGAGGGCCGCCCCTGGCACAGGCTCAGGCCCTCTGCCCTCCCTCGGGGACAATCCCGGCAGCGCCCTGGGCCTCGGGCAGCCTGGAGCAGGTGGCTGCCAGCTTGAGCGGGATCGAACTCTCAGAAGGAGGGGCGGGCGGTGAGCTCAGACCCTCCGGGGAGCCCCGGAGCCCCGGGGTCCCAGCGCGGAGGCGGGGCGGGGCGGGCGTACCACTCCATGATGATGAGCAGGCAGCGCTTGCTGCGGTGCATGTTCTCGTACACGTCCAGGATGCGCACAATGTGGGGGCCGCCCGACGCCTGCCAGTGCTGCTCCACCTCCTGCCGGGCCTTGGGGCTGTCGTACAGGACCTGGGGCGGCGCGGGGCCGAGGGGCGGGGCTCAGGGAGGCCTGGGACCTGCCCCGGCGCCCCGCCGCTTACGAGGACAAAGCGAGGACGGAGGACAGGTCTCCCCGGCGTGGGGTCCCGGGGTGAGGTCAGCCCCTCGCAGCGTGGCTGCTGACCGGGGAGGCCCTGGGGGGCTGACGGCTGGCAGGGCTCCGAGGCCGCCCTTCTCGGGCGGCAGGTGAAGTGGAAGTGGAGGGGCTGCAAGGCCAGCGGCATCGGCTGTGGGGCCCAGGCCGGGGCCGCGCACGGGATGGCACCGGGTTGTGGACCCAGAAGGAGAGTCTGGGGGGCGGAGAGGGCCCTAGTTGAGGGAGGTGACGGCCTGGAGGGGTGCGGTCCGGGTTTGGGGCTAAATTTCTCCCATGACTCAGCGTGACCTCAGGCAAACTCTCCCAGCTCCAAGCCGCAGCCCACAGCCCAATGGCAGAGTCATCCCCACGGGATGCGTCACGCACGGCAGCGGGCGGGTGAGCAGCGCAGGGATCCTCGCTCGCTCGCTCGGGCTCACTCAGCCCGGGCGGCAGCCCGGAAACCAGGGATGGCTCGCTCCTGCGGCCGAGCTCTCGCTGAGCCCTGCACGCTGCACCCTCCGCGCCCACGTCACGCCCCCCCCTGCCCACGCCGCACCCTCCCGGCCCACGCCACGTCCGCCAGGCCCGCGCGCCGGCTTTTGCCCACGGTGGTGCCGGGGGCAGCGGCTCGGCCGCCCCGCTCACCACGTCTGCTTGGAACTGAGTCTGGGGCAGAGAGGGCCCCGGGTGAGGGAGGGGGGGTTCCAGCCAGGGGATGCGCTTGCAGGTCCCACAAGGGCCGCGCCCGCCCGAGTCCATGTCTGTGCACACGCTGCCCCCTCGCCTTCTCCGGCGGTCGGCTCCCTCCCCGGAGGAAGCCCTCCCAGCCCCTGCCTCTGTCCCTCCCATCGCCGCAGCCTGAGGGCAGAGGCAGGTCTGCAAAGCTGGGATCCCAGGCAGGGGCTCCTGAAGAATGAGGGGGGAATGGGGGGGCGGGAGGGGCTGTGGAGGGAGGGCCTGAGGTCTGGAAGGGAGCGGAGGCACAGGGCTCTCTGAGGTGGAGGAGGGCGCAGCTCCCTATGAGAGATTAACCATGCCTCCCACCCCGCTCAGTGCATATTTAGGGACTCGGTTCCCACACACATTAAAATAGCGCTTCTCTGAGTGCCAGGGCCCCGAGAACAGGCCCGGGAGCAGGGAGACGCTGACCCCAGAAAACACAGAAGCCACCCTGGCCGCTCGGCAGGGCCCCACCCAGGCCCAGATGCCAAGGGCGGCTGCCACTCTCAGTCCGACCCTCGGCCCTCGGGCTGCCCCTGGAGGGTGGCCCCAAACCTCCTGGAGCCTCAGCTTCCTCCCCTTCCTTCCCATAGCCAGAGACTTCTCTTCTCAGCATCCTCCGACGCCACCTCCTCTGGGAAGCCCTCCCTGACTACGCCGTCTACAGAGGGTCTAGGGGGTCCCTCGTTTCCTCTCCACCCTTTACTTTTCCTCCTTTCTGTACCTGTTTACCGAGGTAAACGCACCAATTCCAAGAGGCCAGTTCTATGAGGCTTTCTGTTGTTCTTTTTATTACCAGTTCAGTGAATTCTGACAATTGCACACACCCCTGGAAGCCACACCCCCATCGGGACAGAAAACATTTCCAGCTCTCGGGAAGCGCCCCCGCGTCCCCTTTTACCTCCCTCCTGGGCAGCACTGGCTCACAACCTACAATTAGCTGTGCCTTTTGATAACCCTAATCACACACACACACACACACACACACACACACGCACACACTGCACTTTCAACATGCCTGGCTCTGATCGGAGCCTTTATAAACGCTGGGAAGCTGGATGGCCGAGTCCCCCACCCCTCCCCACACACCAGACCGTGGGCCCGGCCAAGGACGAGGGCAGAGGGCCCACGCCCTCCAGCATCACCTCAGAGCTGGCCACGCCCCCACACCACTCCCCACCCAGGACCGAGGCGCCCGGCGTGGGCGGAGGCATTCTCCCGGGCAGGAGCTGGGCCAAGAGCAGCGGCATTTGCCGCTGGAAAAGCCACCTGCCACTTACAGACGCGCTCCCGTGTCTCCCAGGAACGCGGGTGCCCCCCTGTGCAGCCAGCGGGCGGGACCAGCCCAATGCACAGAGGAGGAGAGAGGCCCAGGGGTGAGTCATGATGGGGCTGCAGGACGGTGGGGCCAGGAGGATCCACACAGCCCCTCCCCGAGAGGCCACGTCAGGAGGGGGTGCCCCACGCCGAGAGGCTCTGGCCCACACTCCATCTCGCAAGACTCGGGAAACCCGTTCTGAAACACGTGTGCACAGGCGCACAGGCCTGTGCACGGGTAGGGCGTGTGAGGTGAGGGTGTGCGTGCGTGGGAACACAGGTACAGGCGGGTACAGGCGGTGCGTGCGGGGCGTATGGGTGTAGGGACGATGGGGGTGTGAGGGTGTGGGCCTGTGGCTCCAGCCTGTGATGTTGGCTTCGAGCCCCCAGAGGATGGGGCCCATCTATCTATCCATTTATTCACCTGGTATTTCCTCCTCCTCCGAAGTGCCCGGCAGGGGACTGGCACAGAGAGGGGCCCAGGAAAGACTGGGGTCTTGCTGTCACTGCCCAACACATGACAGACAGCCCTGCCCACGCAGGTGACCACGCCAGACCCTCTGCTCAGACCAATGCTCCCACTGGGGCCCCTTCCCGGAGCCTCTGAGAGCTCGTGTGATGTCTGCAGCCGCCCGGTGAAGGCGCAGCCCTGGGACCAGCCCAGCGCCTCTCCAGCGCCTCCCCGCCCAGGGCGGGCCACGCAGCCCACAGCCCCCCACATGCTCAGTGCCCGCAGCCCATCACCCAGGCTGGCTCTCCTCAGAGGGCAGTGTCACAGGCCTCCATCTGTCCCACACACGCAGGAGGCCCTGGGCCACCAGCCTGGTAGGCAGCTCTCCCCGCCCTGCCCCTGCCCTTCACCGCGGCCTCTGCCGGAACCCCCCCCCCTTCTGGGGCAGCAGGTGGCCCCCCTCTCTCCCACCAGCCAGGCGCCGACAACTGAGGAAACACGGGTGCTGGGTTTCGTGACACCCACAGCCCGAGGTCCTCCCTATGGCAGAGGGAGCTCTGAAGCCAGGAACCCAGGCCTCCCCCCCTGCGCGCCCCCGAGCGCAGGGCTGCAGGCGTCTGTGACCCATGGCGTGTCGGGGCCAGGGAAGACGAGAACGCCGTTCTCTGTGAGCGAAGAGGAGGAGGCAGGCAGGAGGCCAGGAGGTTTTCACGCTGAGCCTCCGGTGGGCTCGGCGGAGAGGGGAACCAGGCCGGTGCCGGCTCTCGCCCCAGGGACCGGAGCTCACTGACGCCCTGAACTCCCGCCAAGACCAGGTTCTCAGTCACTTAGCACTGGCTGTTCCGGAGGGACAGGTAGGACAGCCGGCTACGCCTTCAATGACTGGCTGTGCAGATACGGCAACAACGGCCACGGCTAAGGTGGGCCTTCATCAACACTGGGCCCGCACCCGGCACCGCGGCCCGGCACGAGCCGGCATATGGCACCTCGGCCCGGCGTGGGCCCGCACCCGGCACCGCGGCCCGGCACACCAGCAGGAGTGCTGATAACATGAGGAGGCCCATTACTTTCCTGGGCCTGAGGATGGAGAGGGGAGTGGCAGGAGGGGCTGGCATGGCCCTGACACCTCCTCCCCCGCCGGCAAGGGCAGGCACCGCAGTGCACATGCTCAGTGCCGCATGTGCTGGCGGCAGGACCGAACAGGATATTACAGAAAAATGCAGGCTTTCAGCTCATCTTTTTCCCTGCGGAGCCTCTGTTCTCTGCAGGGGAGGCCGGGGTGAGAACAGCACTCCGCATCCGCCACACGCTCAGCCACATCTGAGGTCCCTCCGGCTCCCAGCGCCGAGGTCATGCCCTGGGCCAGGGGCACACTCACCTGCCCCTGCCGGCCAGCGTGACCTCTGCTGGCTGCTCTGTCCACTCAGAGCAGAGGCCTCAGCCCAGGATGGGACAGTATAGACCGACCTCGAGTCAGGAGTCAGAGCAGGGGTGTCCTTTTTTAAATCCTCACCTGAGGATATGTTTTGATTGATTGATTGATTTTTATTATTTTTATTTATTTACTTTTTGAAAGAGAGGAAAGGGGGAGGGAGTGGAGAGAGAAACATCGATTGATTGCCTCCCGCCCAGACCACGCTGGGGATGGAACGTCCAAACTTTCGGTTCCCAGGACGATGTCCCCACCCACGGAGCCGCCGGGCCAGGGCAGGCATGTCCTGTTAAGGCCTCAGCATCTTCCTTCTCAAGCCAGAGCCGCCCCTCATCCCCCACCCCCAAGGGCACCAGAGCCATTTGGGGAGCTGCCTGCCAGCGTCAGATCGAACGTCTTAGCCACAGCTTCGCATTTAGCGCCTCAGCTGGTGGCATCGCTCCCGAGAGCTCATTTCCCAGCTTTCCCAGCTCATCAGGGCTAATGGGACCGAACGGGGCCGAAGGCGCAGCCTCGCTCCATCAGGTCCTGATCGTGTCCTGTGTCCGGCCCCACTGGCCGGCCGCTGACTCCTCTGCCTCCACGGCTCCTGCCACTCCCCTGACCCCTCGTGCCCGGCCCCCGCGGGATGCTCAGCCTTCTGGGCAGTGACTGGGCAGTGACTGCCTCTCCCCCTGGTGCCCTGCCAGCGCCCGTGTCCTGAGAAGCCCGGCATCCTCCTTCCGCTGTGGACACACTGAGACTCTACGCACTAAGGGGCTTGCCAAGTCACAGCGCTGAGCAGGGAGAGTCCATCCCCATGCGGACCCGTCGGCCCCCGGGCAGTGGGACCCGGTGGCCCCCGGGCAGTGGGACCAGGTGGCCCCCGGTGGCCCCGGGCAGTGGGACCCATCGGCTCCGGGCAGTGGGACCTGTCGGCCCCCGGGCAGTGGGACCCGGTGGCCCCGGGCAGTGGGACCCGTCGGCCCCCG